AGTTCTAGTGGATGATTCATCTCATCTTGATGTAGATGTCCAAAAGAGGAGGTGAATCACTCTCTAGATGCACTGGTTGACTGTCTCCATTGACTCAATGGGGAACTTTGGCAGCTCTTTGACCATACAACCCCTCCTGAGTTTAAGCTGAATCCTTATTGACCTTGTCAAGTATGCTCCATTTAAGGTATGTGCTACGTGTCTGCTCTGTCCCACTTTTATGGGGGAAAAGCAACAGTTGAAACAGTTTGGCCACTGTAAATAACCAGGTCGGGGAAAAAATTCTGATGATCATTTCTAGCACATGGCAGAACCAGGGTTTTCGTGGACCTCTGCTTTGGAGCAGAGCTAGAGGCTCTGTTGTGGAAAAGGAGAAGGGCCTTATGTCCCAGATACACCTTTTGTCGTCCTTGTGAACATCTCCCCGTGTCTAGCCGAGTTCCACAATTTTGAAACAGCTCCCAGAAGATATTTTTTAGATTGCTTTATATGTTCTCTAAAAATTCTGTCTGCACTGAGCATCCTCCAGACCGGGGAGAGAAAATGTTCATCCCTCAGGACGGTGGTGGAGGAGAAACATATATCTGTGTAAAAGCTATGGCAAGGCAGAACCAGCAAGGACACATAAAGGGGAAGAAGCATGATGCTGCTGCAAAGGCCGAGCAACCTCCAAGAAGGGGCAACAGCTACTAATGAAAAAGAGAAGACTGGAAAAGAGTAGGCCAGAAAATAAGAGTAGCTGAAAGAAAGAAGAAATTGGAGCTGATTTAGGCTTCACTATAGGGCCACCCCCAAGAAAGGGAATGGAGCCATGGCCACTCAATGCTATCATGGCACCTTTAATGACTGTTCTTGACAATACTAACCACAGTAGCCTGAGTACTCTGTAAAAGAAGCCGAGAACAGTCTATTTAAGTGCAAACCCCAGCTATCTGAATTTCAGCTGTTCAGCACAGAATAGCACCACATGACCTGCCTACAGCAGAGTTCCCCATACATTTCCTTCCAAGTCAAACAATAAATAATGTGAGTTAATAACTACCATTACTGAAATTTCAAGGCCATATAAGCAAGGTACTCATTAACAGCATTCAGTTAGCTATTGGAGCCCCCCCCCAAGGTCTTCATGAAGTGGCATTCCCTTGAATAGAGGGCTCGTGTAAGAGTAATTCACAGCAGAGAAATGAAATAAGGAAAGACAGCACAAAGCCTGCTTATTTTAGTGAGTTATATGGATATTTTCTACTGCTTTAAACAGGTCAGGGGTACAGTGTGATCATACGGCTGTGCTTTCTATCAGCTGGCTTGTTTTCGCTTGCAACATCACGCATCAAACATCTCTTGGAAGACATGGATACAGGTCTGTATGAATTTCTGTTTTCTCCCCAGCTTCTGTATGATTCTGCTTTTTTCCACCAGATAAAACTGCATCAGATGCACTGAGGAATGAGCTTACAGCCTTCATTCCTGAGAGCTCTAGACTGCAGGAGTCAGTGTGCAATAACATTTGCAAAAGCATCCGTGGGCTTTTGAAAGGCCCTTGTTGATGTGCGCCTATGTAAGACTAGCCGAGTTGCTGTTTTATTCTCTGGCAATTCCTTTTCTGTATTTTGCTTGGTCTTGTGGCATTGTTTAAAAATAAAAATAATCTTCAAAATCTTAGTTTGCCTTTCTCGCTTGTCTGTGGTGATCCGGACCATGTGACAGTCTAGTCTTTGCTCCTAGCCTTCTGCTGAAAGAAAATACTGCTCAGCACAGCAAAACTCCAGTTCTTCAAAGAATGATTATTGGAAGAAAAGTCAACAAGCAACAGGGACATCAGCACCTTTTTCGCCACCTTGCACCTTGTTAGACACTCAGATATTCATATTCCCCTCTACCACTTTCTAGTTTTCCGTCACTTTCTAGTTTTCACAGCACCTCCCCTCCTTTATTGCCACACACTTCTTTTGATAATAAGCTAAATCAGCTTTTAGCTAATCAGCTAAATCATAATGCTAACTGTGTTTTTCCTCTGCTCTTTCTGTGTTTGGATAACTTTCCCCCTAGCCTGGTCCCTCTGTTCTCATCCTTCCCCTTTCTCTACCTAGCTCTGCTTTGGGTCAGGTGAATATTTTTTTTGCTTGCAGCGCCCAGAAGTACTCTTTTTTTTTTAATTTTCTTTTTTTTCTTTCCTGGAATCGTTCCGCAAGCTGACCTATTTCACCAGGTAAACTAACTAATCGCTCTCACAAGCGGTAACTGCTTTTCTGACCTTTGGAAAGGCCGAACGCCAGAGTTACGAGTCGTCCTTATGCAAACTGTGCTTGTAGCGATTAGCCACCTGGGGTCACCGTTCCTTCCAACATAACCAGCGAGAGAACATTGCATGCTCTTAGCAGGGTAAACATTCGCCGCTTCTAGTAAGATGCTCGTGGCTATTATCCCTCTGCACTGAGTTTTCCTGCTTGAAAGCGAATGGCTGCATGAAAGAGGGAGCGTGTCTCCGCTCACCCGCCAAAATCGACCTCTCTGCACAACGGGGCTGCTGACCCTGACACAGCAAAGCAGTAAGGAAAATACGGCTCGTTCCAAATCTGTGTCTGCAGTCCAATCTGCTGCCCTCTGCTTAGAGTTTGCAACCATTAATTGGTCTGCAGGACTTCAGAGAGCTAGGGAAGGCAGACGGAGCTGAAGAAGGACTACGGAAAAGTTCCCCCGTCTCTGCCTCCACCATGCAAATAGCCGCAGGATTCAATAGTTTGTCCAAGCGATAAACAGAAGTAGACACTGGTGTAAACCCCCGCACGTGCGATGAACACACCACGCATTTAATAGAGGAAGAACAAATCATGAGAAACCAGTCTCTGCTTTCTCTTTATGTAAATACATTTTCCTGGCCAAGGCGGTCGCAGTTCTGCATATGCAGTTGAGTATCTGCGGGCATCTCAGAAACTTTGCAGGTGAAAACCATGGGGCTTAGGTCTTTCAGACAGATATCTTAAGGGCTAATCTCTCCAAGTGCTTTTGTGGGCTCTGGTAGGAGCCTACATCTCCTATGATCCTACTAAATATGGAAAATGATGGGGTAAAAATGTCCTTGGTACTAATGCAGTGGTAGTAAATGTCCGTGGAGCATGAACAGACAGCAGGGACCGTAGCATCGCCTGTCTCTGTCCCATGCTCTCGTTAGCACTGCCTAAGGTGTTTGCACCTTTCCACGTGCCAGGGGAGAAGACGCACCTTTGTGCAAACTCCCATGAGTATGGCACTTTCGTTCACCTGTGAAAAAGGTCTATTTTGTGTCTCGCTCAAAAGAGCTCCCTCGTGGCAGCTGCTGTTCACAGGAGTATCAACTGTGTGGGTGTGAAGACAGGAGAGTCTCTGACTGTAAGCAACAGTGGACACTAACAGCATCTTCTGTGTTTGTAGCTACTACTGATGAATACAGCTGTAGCTGTATTTGAAATGCATCAGTTATATTTCTTAGTCATACTTGATATGAAGATTTCATTTGTTAAGGATTTATATAGGGGAAGCAAATGTATGGCATGTAATCATAATGTTGCAGTAATAAGTAGTATATTTTATGGATTGTCTAAGCACATCATTAGAAAATAGCATAGATAGATAGTTTTAATCTGTTTTTATGTAGTCTACCCCAACTAATTCTCTAGATATTAAAGGATAATAATTTATGTGGAAATGACTGTAGCAAAACTACATAAAGCGCAATACTTTCTCGGTCATTTTTAGTCTCTTGGTGAAGGGGGAATCATACCTCCTTTTTCCACGGACATTTGGAAGTACCAGTTTCGCTGAAGCATGACACATCCAGACAATTTAGGAATAAGAGAGGCCCTTTCCAAACCTGCCAGCCTCAATCTAATATATTTTTTCTTCAAACTTGCAGTCTTTCAGAAGTGCATTTGTCACTCGCAGAAACAGTATACATCAAAAAACAAATGGAGCGTGTGTCTCTGATCAGCAGATAAAGATCTCCGAGAAGTCCAAGCGAATCATCAGTAGGTAGAAATCTCCGAAAAACCCAAGTAATCCGTCCTGTGCCCACCTGGGAGGTGGGGCACATTGATGGTGCCTGAGGTCCAGTGTCATTCACCAGACAGCTACCCTACAGTTAAGGTCCCCATCAAACTCCTGTTCAGCCACAGATTTGGAGTCGAGCGACTTGCACAAACCTGTTAAAATTTTACCCCCTTCTACTGACCACAGTGGTAGTGGAATCACAGAATCACAGAATCACAGAACGGTTGAGGTTGGAAGGGACCTCTGGAGATCATCTAGTCCAACCTCCCTGCTCACGCAGGGTCCTCTAGAGCACATTGCACAGGATCGCGTCCAGACGGGTTTTGAATATCTCCAGGGAAGGAGACTCCACCGCCT